GCGCCGCCAACATGCAGTATGGCTTCCAGCAATTTAACAGCAGCAACGTCGCCATGGAGGGCTACGACCTGCAGATGGTGCCGGACATGTACAACAACGGCGGCCTCGCCACGGACGCGTACCACTACCAGACGTGCCATGCCGGCACAATGCAGCACGGCTACGTCTTCCCGTGCGCACGCGGCAGCGCTAGCTACATCGGCATGCCTTCTGGCTACCAGATGCAGCAGGTGGTCGGCAGTGGCGCTGCCCAGCCCAATCTGGCCATGTCGAGCGCCGACGAGCCATGCCACGCCATGGTGCCATTGCCAGTACTGGAGTACCCCTCAGCCGACCCTAGCCTCAACTACATGGACACGCAGGCGACACACGGTGTCCACGGCGGCAGCGGTGGCACGTCCTTCGCTATGGACGCCAGAGGCAACTTCATCAACGCACCACCAGCCTTCTCCGTCGCCAAGAGCACCGGTGGTGGCGGCGGCAACTTCATCAGTGCGCCGCCAGCAGCACCTTCCCATGCCATGGGAGGCACCAGCGACAACATCACGCCAGCCCAGCCCCTCGCCATGAGCTACGGCGGTGACATGGCAATTGCCGGCAGGTACGCGACGCAGTCCGGCATGGAGCAGCTGCATTACCTCGGTGACCTGGAGGACACGCAGCCGAACCTATGGGGAAACTAACCTCGCTTGCAGTCAGATCAACGCTAGTAAAGTAGTACTAGTAGTGTCTAGCGTCGTAGTAGGGTCAGATGCGCGACATCACGAGTCCGGCAATTTTGGGTGACACAAGATACAAGACTGGCCGCCAAGTTGTGCTGATTGTCGTCGCCGCCACCGCCGCCCATTGTCCCGAGCGATTTTCCCGGCCAGTGAGCAAGGGACAGGGTCTAGGCATATATAGGCAGGTTGTCCATGGTCAGTTTTGTACCTCTGCTTGGTTGATGGATGGAGCAGACAGATTTTAGGATTCAGGAGTTTTGATAGCCTGGATAGTTGCAGCAATTTTGTACCCTAGTCTCTGGAGATTATCCTGGCAATCATGTAAATGTGGCATACAAATATACAAGTATACAATCATACATCTCTCTATTTCTCTTCCCCACATCAAATGCATAGGTTCAGCGACGAAAATAGACAGCGAACGGTAAACAAATCCAAACAATATACCTTGACAATGCAAGTGACACAGATTGTTTAATTTCTTGCTCTAATAGCTTATCATAATAATCAGTGATATCATCCACCGTCACATTGCATTCCTAAGGTCTAGATTAATTAGTGTTACAAGCTCACAACCTAGTGTCACATAAGATGATCAAACAGGCCAGGCCACCACTAGAAGACTGTTAACGGTTACTAAATTACCACGGGACATGCAGCATTTTATATATGCTCATCCAAATTTAGATATCGTAATTTGATCCTCGACAAACTTGTTGACCGGTCACACCGTAATCTGATCCTCGACAAAATCAACGTCATGGTGAGGATGTTGGTCTGGGTTTATAGGGCTCTGGTACTTAGCATCCTGGGTTGACTTTGGACAAGAGAGAGGCCTTTGATCCAACTGTACACCCACAGCTTCTTTCTGGTCCTGTTCAAGCTCGTCAGCATGTACATCAGAACGGCCTTGTTCTTGTTCATGTCCACTGCTGGGTAGCACATCACATGGATGGGAGCTCTGCACCCTCATTTGCACCGATCTCAAAAGTGCGGCTCGCCTCAGATCTCCACCATGGCACATGTCATTAGGTGAGGATGGGATCCGGCCTTCCTGTTAAGTGCCACAACCACGGCGAGCAGGCGAGCAGACCACTGCTGGGAGGGAGCAGCTTGGGAGAGGGTATGGACATGCAGAAGAGAACCAAGTGTGTAGCTTATGGGGACGGTGTGGAGATGAAGCTGGACTAGTTGACGAATTACCCAGTACATCTGTTTGATTCCCATTGGTGTTTACTTGAATGTCATAGTACCTGTAATCATCTGACTCTTCTGACATAGGTGAGTACTGCATGCTCATCTCATCCCTACAAGGATGCAAATAAAACAGTCTGAGATTGTAAACCATAAAAATGTAATAGATAGAATCATAGTAAAAATAACTAAGCAATTGGAGTAAAAGAAGATATATGCAAAGTTCAGTAATTTTTCCAACACAAGCAGAGATACATTCCTAAAATATTTGCAACATCATCATTGATAGCATGAAGAATATTCTGAATTGTAATAAACATCCAGTTGGTTTGAAGTATCAGTAGAAATGGCAACACGATATAAGTATACAGTGGAGAGTTATGCCAGTAGGTGGTAGGTGCTTTGCAGAGTTATGCCTTTCAACAGGTTTAGTATAGAAAAAAGCTAGGCGAAAGTATGCTGGGTTAAGTTTATACGATATTAAAGTAATGGATTATACTTATTACATTGTTAAGAGTGATACAAAGAAATCTAATTGCCAACATTTATGACGGTCCAACAGCACAGTGAAAGTAGTAAGGATTGCGCATAATGCATGGATATAATGCATTGATCCCTCGGGCGCGATATAAATAGAGTGCAAGACTTAGGGAGCAAGATGCCTCCCAGATACATATGGCAATACAAGATTACAATATCCTTAACTACCAAATATACTTTAATATGCCCCACAGTCGTAGCAGGAGCATCGAAAATAATCAGACTAAGAAGCCGAAGACTAAAATCTACTGCAGGCGTAGCAACATTGCAATGCAGATGCTGCGACTGGAGTAGAAACCAACAAGTAGCTCATGCAGATGATAGCCCTTTTAGTCACAGAAGTAGTCAAGGTCGAGGTGGACGTGGTCCAAGACATGGAAGGGAGGCACAAGTCCGAAGCATCAACAATAGAGGCACACAAGCACACATAATCACCAGCTTCTCGCTGACAACCGCAGCAGGACCAAGAGCCGGTCAGATGGCGAAGATAGGCCAGGCTACTCGGACGCATCAACGATTGCTCACACCCCTAATGGCAGCAGCTCGGTGTCCCCAAGGGCCTCCTCTGCAGACATGTGTTCGCGCTTAAGGGCAGTGGCAGTAGCAGCGAAGGGGAGGGGCGAGGCAGATCAGGCACGGCTAGGGAGAGGGTGGCAATTCCTGACGATGGCGACTCGACGGGACAGCATAGAGGATCAACAATGACAATGAGTAGCATGGCAGCCCATCAATGCCCACGGCGAGCCATCCTGATGATTTGTTGCTGCTCGATGCTAAGGTGGCAGATCAATTATATATGTACAGCCAAAACCTTCCTATGAGGGCACTTCCCCAGCGGAGATAGATCTCCCCGAAGGCGGTGAGGCGGCAGTGGTAGTGGAAACGTCAACTCAGGATCAAAACCCTGAACTCACGACACCATGAAAGTGGGAAGGATTGCGTATAATGTGTGGATATATTGCATTGAGCCCTTGGGCAGTATAAATGGACCCTAAGACTTAGGAGGCAAGACGCCTCCCAGATACATATGGCAATATGGGATTGCAATATCCCCAGCTACCAAATATATACTCTAATACGCAGGTTTGAAATATTGGAAGCCAGGGCCAAAAGGTATATCCATGTCAAGAAATCGTGACCTGTACTTACATTCTCCTTTTTCATGCACACAGGTAGTATTGCTATGTGACTAGCTGTCTAGCTGACTGCCATGGTAATATCCAGGTCTCAAAGACTTGGCCTTACCCGGGCTCAGTGCTTGAATGGCTGAACCAAACCATGTCAGCAATGTTAAAGGAGTAACATGTAGCTGGATTGCTAATATTAATTGGGTGACGTGGTTCAAAAGTGAAGCTCCTTCTCACTCTACCTACCAGATGTAATAACATATTCAAAGTACAGCTTCAGAATCCGGCCACTAAGAGCTAATCCAAACAAAGCCCTTCTAAAAAGGTAGTGTGGTTCGTTAAGTACAGATCCCTTCTGTTCAGATAAAATTTCCAGTGAAATTCAAAGACAAATTCTCTGTTTTGTATGACCTAGCACATGAACCTGACCTGAAGAGTTTCAATTTTGATTATGATGCAATGTTTTCTGATCGTCCGATTAATCGCGATTAATCGTCCTTATCGGTACTTAGCACTTGATTAGGCCCTCCGATTCGATCAGAGCGATCAAAAACCTGATCGTCCGATTAATCATCGATTAATCGTCCGATTAGGTCTCTTTGCCGATCAGCACTGATGATGAAGATGATGACCATGAAGCACAAGTTCAGCCAGATGCATCTAATGCTGAAGTAGGAATGGAGGTGGATGGAGACTCGGGTGGAGATGGAGGAGGAGGCTTCAATTTGGATGATGATTTGCTTATTTAGATTTAGATGGCTGCTGAATGCTGATTGAATGGCAACCAGTGTTATCTTGAAAACTCTGAATGTTGTTTGCAGTGTTTAATTATTCAGTTTGTAGTATGTACTAAGTACTCGTACTATATTAAGTAAGCTGTGGACTATGCTAGTTTTCTTAATTCCTACTTTTCTGGATCTGGATTGAGTATGTGTTGTTGTAATACTGTCAGTCTGTCACACTATTTTTTTGCATCTACATACTCAAGTTATCTATTATTCCTGCAGAAAATCAACAAACATATGGAGGCTGGGACAAGAATATGGAGTCAGATCTCATAGGTAAGTAACCAACTAACTAGAAATATGCTCGATGTCTACTATATAAATATATAGTATATGGTATATTATATATATACCATACATATATGATATATACTTATATAGTCCTGCTATATGCTGGACGATTATATGGATGATTAGACCGATCAGAGGTCGATTAATCGTCCTGATCGTCGATTAATCGTCATGATCGTCCTAATCGGTACCAGACCGATTAGGAACGATAAGCCGATCAGAAAACATTGTTATGATGAAATATATTATCAGCTTTATGAAGTTACTAAATAGTGAAGATGTAACACATATCAACTTATACTGATAATGTGTGTGATTGGACATATAGAGAAACTTTTTTCTTAGATAACAAGGATGTATAGAGAATTAAGGTATGAATACCTAATGCAATAAGCATTCTCCAGTCTCATTGGGGACCCCATGATATTGTCAGGAGCTGAATCTCCAACGGACAAGCCATTCATGCTGGATGCCATTATCTGCAAGAGCCTATGCAACAATTGAGGATTTATACACGTAAAATGCAGGAACATGTGAATATTTTCAGAATGTATTAGATCTGATACTAAACAAAATCCTACAAAATGCCAAACGGTTAGCCTTACTTTTCGGCAGCTAAAGGACACTTATAGCTATGGAAATTTGATCTGTATGTATTGAGTTTTACTGAAACAGCAACATATCTCTGTATATAAGCTAAGATCATCTAGAAATATAAACCAATTGTATGATATTTTCAGAACGACACTCCCCTTTATTATTGATGATGAATCGAAACAATACACGCCTCCGCCATTCTGCTCAACCTAATTAGCATTTAGTATATGGCCTAGGATAAAAGGTGAGATAGTATTTGGCCCTGAATCAGTTTATGATTTCCAACCAACCAGGATACTGGAATGGAATGTAGCTCAATCAAGTGGACCCTAAGCAAATGATACAATGATTTGGATTTCCTTCCCCAAATCCTGAAAAAGCGGCAAATTAGAGGGGTGGCCTTCCCCACCGAACAGTGACAGAGAAATCCATCAGACGTCGAGAGGATTAGCAGCGGCATGGCCCACGCTCATCCTGTGCCCCACCCACGCGTTACCGCCAAGGCACACGACGCGAGCCATCTATTCTCCCCAGTCCCCACCAAGTTCGGGTCTACGAACGAACGCACACGGAAATTGCCCAATCGCGGAACCAAGTTATTCTGCTCGCTGACAGAGAGACGGACGGACGGAACGCAGTGGCGGAGCCAGGATCTCAGGACTGGGTATTTCACGCATAACAAATTTTCAATTTATATATGCAATAGTAATAACGGACAAAAACCAGTACAAAATTGATCCTGATGCACAGTTCAAGTAGTATATATAATTTTCTTAAAATATATGCTAGGTAAAATATTTTTTTACCCTGGTAACAAGACACCAGGCCTAGCGAACCGTACTTGGTGTCGCCCCTGATAATAATCAAACTATAAATTCTTTATCTACGTTACAAGAACACAATGCAACATTCCTTTAAAAAAAGAATACAATGCAATAAAAAAATAGAAAATATAACCTTCAATTCTTACTCTAAAGAATCAAGAATGGATCTGGAATCTTTTGTGTTCGCTTCAAGCCCGAGATGAGAGAGGTGCCGAGGGGGAAGTCCAGATGCCAGAGCCGAGGGGGAGCTTGCAAACACCACTGACCGCCGCCGCCGCCATAGGAGTGCCGAGCGCAAGGCGCTGCCACATTGGTTTTGTCGAGGCCCGATTGCCCAAGGCCAAGGGGCGAGGGGGCGTCTGGGCGAGGGCTGAAGGGCCGAGGGGGAGAGCCGACCTGCCGTGCCGCTGTGCCGCTGCCGCCCTTCCGGTCAATGCGAGCGAGGGACGGGAGTAGGAGACAGGGACGGGAATACAGTCGATGGGGTTTCTGTCATTCTGAGTTCGCTGCTGCTACCAGTTGTTATACTGGGCTTATGGGCTACATATTTGCGACATTCAACAAACTAACATGTTGTATCATTATACATGTATACATATATTTGTGTTTGTCATAAAAATCATGGGTATTTCATGTAATACAGGGGCATACCCCTGATGCCGCCCATGACGGAACGGACCTCGGTGAGGTAGAGCTTGTGGGAGTGGAGGTTGTCGACGTAGACGTCCTCCTCCGGGTCAGGGACCCTCCCGCGCTTGCCGCCGCTGGGCGCCGGAGACATTGTGGCCTGGCCTCCGCCGCCGCCGAGCTCCCTCCGGGTCCGGACACCGGGCGAGGCAAGTGAAGGGAGTGTGTTGAAAAAAAAACGCTCCCCGTTCCCGTTACTAGCAAGCTCCCTCCCGCTCCTCTTTTCTATCCTGTCCTGTCCTGTCCGGCGTATTGAGATGCGTCGACGTGTCGACCCGCGCGTGGGTCGGCATCGGCAAGAATCAAGCGCAAGGCCCCCCTCTCGCTTTTCGCTTTTCTGTTTCGTCGTGTACTCGTGTCGAGCAGACGAGAGGAGCCACCTTCTTCTCTTTTGTTTACTCATTGATTGGATTTGATGAAATGATGAAACGATCTGAGCTGCTTTTCCCTGTCAGCCGGCATGTTCCCTGGCGAACAGAAATTTGACCAGACGGTGAGAGAGACGAATTCCTTGGTCCACGTGACCACGTCCAACCTCATCGTCCAATGCCGACGCCGCTTGATTGCATGATCCGGCGTGACCGCGTGTTCACTGTTCACTGCCCCGGTTAATTGTGTGCCTGTCATCATAGAAGACAAGAGGATGTGTTGGTTGGCCGCGGTGTCCGGCTGCCTAGCCACACAGTTTCCCAATTTGATTTCGGACGACGTCTGGGTTAGGATCGCTAGACTGGCTAGGCAAACATGATCCATTCAGCTCCAAAATGTATCTAGGAGCATTTTTTTTTTTCATTCCTTTCTTTTTCTTTGGGTTCCTCCTCCCTCTGTTCGTTTCTTCTAAAAAATAAAGAATGGGCTCACGGGCTCTATTGCGCCACACCAACATTCCTTAACACACACCACTTCATCACTTCATGGTTAATCTGTTAGCATGGCGACGCGAGGCAACATGAAAAACTGATTGGACCTGTTTCAAGTGGGAATATCTGCGCGTGCAGCGCCCTCTTCTATTTGTGACCTATGTCGTCTAGCTACCTTGACCAAAATTTGGCCTAGTCCAATTATTTCAGCTCAAATTTGAAGTGCAAAACAATTATGCTTGAGCAAGGCATCCTCCGTGTTTCATGCATAGTCGCATTTGGTAGCTTGGATAGAAGATGAACCGGTTAGACAAGATTTGGAAATATGAATGAGTAGTCTTGCAATTAGATGGTCGTAGGCTTAGTATGGTAGTGCTATGGTTCTGTCTGCAAATTTGACTTGTCAATTAGTTGCATGTTTCTTATATGCTTAGAATTGGTAGGTCAGTGCACTTGGCCTTGTTTGCAGTTCTTGTAATAATGAAGCTATGATGATACATTGTCTTTGATATTTTGTAGATGGATCATTTAGTGCTTATGTTTCACAGTGGGAGCGTCAAAGATATTAAGGTGTTTTCCCCGCAAAAAAAAGATATTAGGGAGTTTTAGAATACGAAGAAAGTGGTTGAGTTGTTTGAAAGTCTGCCTAGTTTTAATGAGCTTGTATGTCATGCAAGGGAGAAGTTTGATAATGAGGTCGCATTGTGAGGATAGTTTGATTATAGGTAGGATAGTGCACATTAAGTGCTGATGAACTTGTCAACCGAGCAGCATTGGAGGTATTACAAATAGGTTCTGAAAGGGGCTAACATGAGTTTGTTTTGAGGTGGTGGTTGATAGTGGGCATAGCAAAAACATGTAAACACAAGCCTTGACGTTGGAGTTATTAAAGGATAAGAGACAGAGGAAGTTGGGCTAGTGGTGAAGCTAACTAAAGAGCTTAACATGTTGGAGGTGCCCAATGGTTTTGAATAGGTGTTGATCCGTCTAATGGCCTTTGAGAATTTTTTGGGGTCGGGGAGGGGATTTCGGAGCACGATGATCTTATACAAATGGCATCATTAACAATGACTGATGTTGGGACAATTGAGGACGAGGCCAACAAGGACGACGATCATATTTCCCTTGGTTTGGATGAAGAAGAACAAGCTGAAGGAGGCGGAGGACACGATGAAGACAATGGTTTGGATACACAGAGGAGGAAGAGGGTAATGAGGATGGAGATAGGATGAAGTTCATGTAAATCAGAGGGTTTATGACGAGTTCATGAAAGATTGTCATTGTACAAGTACAAGGCCGAGCAGTTGTGGCAGCTCAAGGTGGTACATGCTGAGGTTCCTAGTGTACCTAACTACAATTTACACAAAAAAGTGTACCTAACTACAATGGTATTAGCACGACCAATAAGACCATATGTAATGACAGACAAGGCCATATGTAACTACAATGATATTAGCAAATAAAACTATGCAAGATGAAAACAAATATTTAAGTAAATAGGTTAAGAGATCGAATGAGGCATATCATATAATTGTTATAGGACGATGGATATATTTTAATAAATCTATCCACCTCTGATAAGCAATTAGTAATGTCCTTCTGAAATATCTGGAGCCACCATTTGATGATTGTCACGAGCATTTCTCAGAACAATCCGCTTATCTTCTTTGCTCTGCCAAAAGCTTCATCAACTCTAGAAAATCCCCGCATTATCTGACTCTGGTGACTCGTCAGGACCACGAAAAGCTAACCCTTGATGCAACAAGTACCTAACAACATATATACAAGTACTTAGTTGAATAAAATACTCATCTTTTGTAACATCTTTCTGTTTGTTGAGAGCAAAAACATGGATTGGTTTGGCTTCAACAAACTGTGCATGCGCGGCCGAGGGCAGGAAGGCGAGCGTGCGCGGGTTGCCGGTGCTGACAAGGTGTGGGCTAGCGGCCAACGGGATGGAGGGCGCGTAGGTCAGCGGCAAGCCGAAGGATAAGGAAGGGGGCAAAAGCGACATTTCATGTAGGCATGCCATGCTGGAGAGGTGAGTTGGAGCGCCATGCAAGCAAAATGTCTAGAAACGTAAATTTTTCACTTCTCGATGGCAAAAATGTAGGAGCGCTTTGTAAAGTTGGTAATTGAGCCCGTGCCAAACGTAAACATGGCAAAAAATTATATATCCCTCCTCATAGTAGTTCAAGCAAAATTTAATTATAACCTCCGAGATCCAAACAACTCATGGTATGTGAGGTCGTGCCCAAGATTCTGGGAGTCTTTCCTCAAAAAATCTTGAAGCCCACCATATTGGATGAAATTCAGAAAATTCAGATCGTTATGGTATCCACTCAAAATCTGAATGAAAATTTGAGCAAATATAAACAAAATTTCCCCAAACGATCAGGAATGACGGTGGGCTTGGAGAGGATGCACGTAGCGCCAACGGGGAACACGCAGGTGGCGGGGAGGGCAGCTACGATGTGGTGGTGGCAGCAGGAGGTGCAAGATGGCAGCAACGATGCATCAGATGCGGTGATGGCGTGACGGTGAGCGTCAAGGAGCGGCCATGGCACACGGGTGGCATCGAGGAGTGTACATGGCACAAGCTGGACGTAGGGAAGCAACCACGACTCTCGCGGTGGCTACAGTTGCGCTGGCTAAAGGCGACGAGGAGCGGAGACGAAGCTGCTGGTGGCGGCTCGTAAGAAAGTTAGGGACCGTGAGGAAGTTTTTTAGGGTCATACTAACGGAGGAACATTTGTGGGCTCTTGTTGGACCATAAAACAGAGTGAAAATTTGAATGGGGCCGAAATATTTTGACCGAGTTGGTTTTGTCTTGGACCGAGCCGAATTTCGGTGAAATTCGGTTCATTCGGGCCGAATCCGCCTTGGCATCTCGATCGCTCAATTCGGTGCAGCTGTGTCTGGCATTTGCATAATTGCATCCGTATATCCAACGCACAAAGTTCCACACCACTGCTTCGAGATTGTCCTGGCATTCATTGAGGATATACTACCGGACTGGTGACCAGCGTTCAAGTCCCATACACTATGTGCCAACAGACTAGTCAATTCGTACGTGCCTGTCACAACTCTCACAACCATCCAAGGAGTACCGCGAAATTCTCCGGTCCGGAAGTCATTGACGACATGAATAAAATTGTCCAGAAATAGTCCGCGTTTCCGACCATCTCCACGGAGATATATAGGACTCCTTCCTATCAGCCCCCGTTGCTTTGCAGGAGAGCCTTGCACCCTCGAAGCCGAAGGCCTCGTGCCTTCTCTTCCTGTCCCGGCTCTCCCTCCTCGCATGGAGGAAGTAGCTGTTTCGCCCATGGTCGCTGCCGCCCTAGTGCTCGACAACAATGGCGCCGACGACGCGGTCTCCAGCACTGCCATCCCTAGCGTAACTGTAAGCGTAGAGGAGAAAGAAGAGATCAATGGGGACTTTTCCACGATCACCTCGGCTGCAAACAACAACGACGGGGAGTTGTTCACCACTCCCGTCTCCTCCAGGAGCCCTTCCACTCGCAAGAAGCGCGGCGCGTTCGGCCTCTTCAGGGCGATGTTCCTGTCCTTCGGCCGGAGCGACAGCATGAAGAAGACAGACGACGTCGGCGACACCACGAGCCCCAATAAGAAGAGGGCCATCGCGGCTGCTGCCCACGACCACAAGCCCGCCGGTGACGAGCCGCCATCGTGGAAACACATCGTGGACGGCATGCGCCCGCTCCGCCTCCGCGGGCAGGAGCTGGAGTACTACCCTCCGCCGCCGCCGCTGGGCCACGCCGAAGTGTACCACGACGTGATCCTCCCGCCGCCGTCGCCGGCGCGGTCCGGCTTCGACTTCGAGGAGGTGGGCATGACCAGCCGCTACGCGTCTGCTGAGGATCTGCACCAGATGGACAGCGCCGACGAAGAGGGTGTTCTGGCGGCGGAGGGTGGCGACGGCGATGGTGACAGCAGTTGCCCACACGCCATCGACATGCAGGCGGAGTTGTTCATCGCCAAGTTCTACGAGCAATTCAAGTCAGAATCGTTCAACGGCCATCCCTCCGAGTGATCCATTGATCCATCCGCTTGCGGCATGCATGTAACCGTTCTGATCTTACCCTGAAATTGCATTCATCTCAGAGACGACACTACTACTCAATGTGGATCACGAAGAAATGTATCAGCGGTCACATCGATAAACACAGTCGCCTAAACTGCTCCATGACACCGTTTCATTCTTCTTCTTCTTCTTCAACAAACTTCCTTCACTAATTTTAGCATGTACTAGAATCAATCTCTTATATTTTCTCAGAAATATTAGGCTGTGTGCATCTCATGATAGAGATACAGAGGGTGGAGGTTTCTATATTGGTTAGAAGAGCATCTCCAAGAGTGCCCCATATCCCTTCTCCATCCTTGGAATTTGGGCAAAAAAGAGAAAAACTAGTCTCCAAGAGTTCTCCATATCTCTTCCCCATCTTTCCGCACTTCGCAAAATCACCGTGACCGCACGTAAAAATACGCGCTGCTCCGTCGCGCGCATATCCTCGTTCCCGCTCCTTCTCGTGCTTCCTGCGATAAATTCCCGCGCCGTCTCCTTGGCGCCAAAGCACAGGCTCCATCGATCAACTGCTACGTTCGTCGAGGGCAGAGGATCTTCGCCGCCGCCGACCAAGAGGTAAACTCCATCGATCTACTTCTCCATTCAGGTGATTTGACTTTCGTAGGGTTATCCATGTTGCCGCCGCCGTGATTGGCCGCCGTCGGGATTGGCCACCTGGGTCTTGTCGTGGAGGCCGGCGGAGGCGTAGACGGCCTGGCCTTCGCGGAGAGCAGCACCCAGCGATCCGATCAGAGTCGAATGCTCCAGACTGGGGCTTTTCCCCTTGGCATGTGCCCGCGATCCGATCAGAGCGGCGGACAACCGGGTTCGCGGGCGCCCTGGCTGCGTCCGCCTGGCCGTGGCTGCCTGCTGCCTCAGCCTGCCATGGCTACACTACTACACAAACTTTACTGGAGGCGGGCGTTTTCGGTTTTCCGCGGCGGGCAAAGCCGTCCGCCGCGGCCTAGAGGCCACGGTAAATCGTGGCTTAACCGCGGCGGGCGGCCTTGCCCGCCGCGGTTAACCGATTTACCGTGGTGGGCGGTGTAACGTGCCCGCCACGGTAAATATACTTTTACTATGGCGGGCACGTTAGGATGCCCGCTGCGGTTAATCATTTAAAAAAAAAAAAAAAACCAGGAGCCCGCCGGCGAGCCCGTTCTCGAGCCCACTGGCGAGCCCACCGGTGACAGATCCGGGCTTCCCACGGCTGCAGATCCGTGCCGCTCGGGGAGGGAGAAGAGGAGCAGCCGGCCGGGCCCCAGCGTCTCTGGAGAAGCCAGTTGGACACATCGACGCCACTGCAGGGCTGCCACCACCTCGCCAGTCGCTCGTAGGGGACCACACCGACGCCTCCTCGTGGATCCCCGTGCCTCCTTGCGGATCCCGCCGCGCCATGATGGAGGGAGGCCGACGCGTCCTCGCCCGCGGTGGTGGAGGTCCCAGCGTCGTGGCCGTGGTGGATCCCGGCATCGTGGCCATGGTGGAGATCCCGCCGTGGTGGAGGGAGGCCGCCGCGCCGCCGCGTCCTCGCCCGCCGTGGTGGAGGTCCCGGCGTCGTGGCCGTGGTGGAGATCCCGCCGTGGTGGAGGGAGGCCGCCGCGCCGAATCGTCCTCGCCCACCGGATCCAGCCACCGCGCGCCGCCACCGACCGGATCCACCTCGGGACGCCGTCACCGGCCGGATCCGGTCACCGCGCGCCACCACCGGCCAGATCTGCCTTAGGACGGGCTCGTCGTTGCCGTCCCACGAGCCACCGCACTCAACGCCCCGCGCCCCGTGCTAGAGGATCGGAAGAGAGAGAGAGAGGAGGGAGAGGGAGGGATCGGTGGGAGAGAAGAGAGGGAGGGAGAGCGCCGTGCTGGTGGATATGCAGTGGAAGGAGATGGTGACGGGAGGAGACGAGAGGAGAGGAGTGACTGCGGCGCTATCGGTGGAGAGGAGTGAGTGAACTGAAACCCTAAACTCCTAAAGTGCTCATTTTATATGGAGACCAGTTATTGGGCCTCACCCTGGTCCTGTTGGGCCTCGGCCATTTACCGTGGTGGGCGTCTTAACACGTCCGCCACGGAAAATACATATTTTCCGTGGCGGGCATCTTAAGACGCCCGCTACGGTAAATCGATTTACTGTGACGGGCAAAAGTGTCCGCCACGGTAAATAAAAAATGCCCGCCACGGTAAATCGTGGCATTTACCGCAGCGGGCAAAAATAGGTGACCGCCACGGAGTGCAAAAATGCAACGCTGCACATAATCTTTTGTGCAGTAGTGCTAGCAGCTGCCTGCTATTTTTTTATGGAACTTCTATTTATTTTTTGATGAAACTGCTATTGTTGCCTGAATGTATATGCTACTGTGCCGGCGTGTATGCTAATGTACCTGCTTACGGGAGAGAGGAGGATGCATGGCACTGTGTTGTGTGTTGTACTAAATTTTTTCCTCATACTGATGGCCGGCTGGTTTTAACCTGTGCTGCCGAATGGCTAAATGATTGGTTGACATGATTGTGCTACAGATGGCCGGCAAATGCCAATGCTTTTGATGAAACTGCTTTTTTCATTTCCTGGTCTCTAATCCAGTACAAATATTTTTCATGTACATGGATTAAGCATTGAATTATTGTAGGATAGACCCAACGTTCGATGGTCGATATTGGACAAACATGGTCACAGGAGAGGATGGTGTTCCTGGTTTAGAAGACTACACTTTTCCCATGACACAGGACACCCAGGAAATTAATGAGATATGTACTGAAGTTCAAGTAGTTGATGTGCCGGTGCAGCCAAGTGGAGGTGCTCCACGCCCTCGCAGTACAAGGCCTTATTCGAAGAGGACAAAAAACTTTGATCCGAAGGAGGATTTAGTTGTTGTGGCAGCTTGGTTGAACACGAGCAAAGATCCCGTGCGCGGGGCTAATCAACCTCATGGCTCCTTTTGGAGTAGAATTCATGCTTTCTATGAGAAACACAAGACAACTGAAGCGTTCAGAACGGAGAGTTCCATCATGCATAGGTGGATGGCTATTTTGGACCAAGTGAACAAGTTTTGTGCATGCTACGAAGCGATTGAGTGTAGGAATCAAAGTGGTGCAACCATTCAAGACAAGGTTTAATTTGGTATTTGTTTCATTTGTTCATTTGTTTTGTTTTTCTATTTGATTTATTTGTGGAGATATACACATTGATGATTAATTACATGTGCAGGTTTCTGACGCGGCCGAGATGTTCAAGGGATTAGACAGGGAGACAAGACATTCACTCTAATGCACTGTTGGAATAAGTTGAAGGGTGAAGACAAGTGGAAGGCCGAGAGAAAGAGAATGGCGGAGCAGCAAGCCAGTAAGAATAAGAAGAAACAGAAGATTAATGCGGATTCCATGTCTGCGAATGTACAAGTCAATAACAATGAAGATGTCACTGAGATTCCACCACCAGAATCTGAAGCACGAAAGAGGCCAATGGGTTCGAAGAAGGCAAAGGAAGTTCTAAGGCGAGGAGGTGGTGAAGCTTGCATGGAGGCTTTGGACAAGATGTGGGATAAAAAGGAGGCTTTTGAGATGGAGGAGAAGAAGAAAGAGGAGAGGTTCATGGCTTCACTTGAGCTAGAGAAAAAGCGCCTATCATTAGATGAAAAAAGGTGGAATCAGACCTCATCGAAAAGAAAGACAAAATAATGTCAATCAACATTACCAACCTCGACCCGCTGCAGCAGCAGTACTACATGACGATGCACCAGCAGATTGTTGCTCGTCGTCTTGCGAATTAGAATTAGTTCATGTCATTTTATTTCTATAGCCAATTTGTTTTGGATTCAATGATTCAGTGAACCTTTGCATTACTTTGTGATTCAGTGAACCTTTGCTTAATCATAAATGGTCAAGTGATTTTTAATTTGTATTATTTATATTCAATGAAACTTTGTTCTTGCCTGAATGTATATGCTACTGTGCTGGCAAATGCCTGTGCCTTTGACATGACCGGCAAGTAGTGCTGCTGCTGTTCCTGGTCCTCAACGCCTGATGCCTACACATACTGTGGTGCATGGCACTGTGCTTTTGACATGACTGCTGAAAGCCTGTAGATTGCCTGCACATGAACGGCAACTACTGAATGCTACTAGTAGATGGCCGGCTAAAATTACACTTGAAGTAAAAATGTTCATTACACTTGAAGTAAAAAGTTTTGATTACAAATAGAGGACAAAAATAAACTGATCCTAACAAAAAATAAAATAAAATGTGTGTATATTGCTAATATAAATCAGGATGATGATTCCATAGATGCTCGATGAGGTCTTCTTTTAACTAGACATGTATTTCCTTGTCTATGATCCTTTTGTGCGCTTCAATAAATTCATCATGGGTTTGATTATTCTCATGAGAAGGTTCCACATTTTGGCCACCATAATCGAACCGCTTAGTAGGGTCAACAACTCCTTCACCCTCGACAATCATATTTTGCATTATCACACAAGCTTTCATGATGTCTCCAAGTGTCTCTGTGTCCCATATGAGAGCTGCTCCTCGAACAATGGCGAACCTAGATAGCAGAACCCCAAAAGCTCTTTCAACATCCTTCCTCGCTGCTTCCTGTGCTTTGGCGAAATATTTGTTCTTGTTGCCCATAGGCTGAGAGATGGACTTCACTAAAGTAGCTCATGATGGGTATATACCATCGGCTAGATAATAACCCATCGTATAATCATGACCATTAATGGTATAGTTCACCTCAGGAGCTCTCCCCTCTGCCAGGTTTGCAAATAAAGGAGACCGATGAAGCACATTGATATCATTATAAGACCCAGGCATTTCAAAAAAGGTATGCCATATCAAAGATCGTTGGAAGCAACAGCCTCCAAAATAATAGTGGGCTTCTCCACATGCCCCTTGTACTGACCCTGCAATTCTACAGGACAATTCTTCCACGCCCAATGCATACAATCAATGGACCCTAACAAACCAGGAAA